CCCTCCTGATGCAACCCACGAGGGAGCAGCCACCCAACTAATCCCTCTAGCTTTCCATACACTCCTCGCCCATCTATTATCAAACTCCATTCTCTTGGTTTCCTACAAAAGTACAATGCCTAGGTCATACCTTTTTATTACTTCCTTTATTAATGCTCTTTTCCTAGCGCTTCCTATTCCCCTCACATTCCAGCTATGTATCTTCATTCTCACTTGTTTCTTAAGCCCCTTCTTCACCTAACCCCTACCTTACCCCTTTCCTTTTATCCCCTATTACCCCAAACTTCTTGTCACCCTCCACATCTCTTCTCAATCTCTCAACTTCACTCAATTTCTTCTTCTTTGTTCTAGTTTCCTTCTGCCTCTACAATAGGCCTTCCTTCAGCACATTCAAATCTTCCAATCTGCACCCCAATTTCCCCACAAAATCTGCTAGCATGTCCTCTTTATTAGGATTCTCCTCCACTTTCCTTACTGCAAAAGCCCCTCCACATCTCCCCTCCTCTCCTTCTTCCACTCCACCTGAACCTTCACCTCTTCTCTCCTCTAAAGTCCCTGTCCATCTCATCTCTTGTTCTACTTAAAGACTTTTTCTATAATTTCCAAAATTCTCTCATTCCTATACCTTCCTTCCAGTCTCTCCCCGCTGTCCAGTGTCCACCCCTCTCTTCTCCCCGCCCTTTAAGAGCCTGCCACCCTGACTGGCAGCACATACACGAACTATTGAGCTTGGATTAGGCACGGAATCTGAGACATAGGACAACGAGAGCGCATTAGTAACACAAACTGAATTCAATTGGTTACCTGGGTTTCACTGAGGTGACGAGTGGGGACCGGGGATGTTGTCACCGCCCACCCTTGTTCAGAGGGTTGGTCAAATTCTGTCTCCCTGAGTTGGTTGGTAGACCTTTCTGTCCATTGGATGCTCTGGTGATCTGCCCTCTCTACCCATTGTTTGTCCCTTATTGTCATGTTTCCGCTCTGCCTCAGGTTCTCCGGGTTAACCCCTATTGTTGCATCTTGCACAATTGCAAGCTTTGGGAGCGCGCCTATCTGACTGATGTCTTCATTCCCCTTACTTGACTCCACTCCTCCTCCACCATCTGTTGGGTTCCTTTGATCGGCTAGATTCAGTCTCCAATCCTCTTTTGCGTCCTCCTGAAATAAGCATGTTATATTCAAACCACCCCAATCACTTATTTCGCATTCTTCATCTTTTCATTACCTGCTCCACATTGCATCCAGTCTTCATCCCAGTCCTCTCTTTCATCATTTCTCTCCCTAGTATACTAGGGAGAGGTACCCACCTCAGTTCACTAGCCGAGTTCCGCCCCTGCGATTTTCTCCTCTCTACAGGCCCCAAGGTAGACGATGATAGACCGTTGCCATCGTCTATCATCGCCCCACATGCTGGCCCCTTAACCCGACCCACGTGAGGCCTTAAGTGATCACGTGGGTTGCTGACTCGTCCCCCCGGTTCGCTATTCAGACCGCCCCTTCCCTTTCCCACGTGATACGTTAAGTTATCACGTGTCCCACTTTTAAAACCCCCCAGTTCGCCACATCAGCATATGATGGGCCGACCGACTTTAAATTCATTTTGTGTTTTTGAATTATTGCCTTTTTCGATGTGGCCGCCCAAATTCCCCTCCAGATCTGATTCTTCCCCTTCCTTAAAATATCCCCCCTACTCTTCCCCCTTCCCTCCCACTAATGCTCTGCCACGTAAGCAACTTTCATCCACGTCACCATCTTCTTCCTCCTTCGAACATTCTCTCCACAGCGATGCTTCCACTTCTGTCAAGACCCAGATCTTCCTCCAGAGGCCCTCCGAGTAACACGTGACCACCCGTGGAACCTCCTCCGGCTTCAACCCTCGAATTCTCATCTCGATCGCCCTCAAGTCCCTGAAGTTACAGTCCTCCATTGCACCACCCATCGTATGGATAAGTCTTCCAAAGAAGGAGTTGCTCCAGAGGTTGAAAGGCACCCCAAGGAGCTTGATTCCAAAACACGCAACAGTAATGTCTCGCTCATTACAAGACATACGCCATTCTTCAACCACAATAAGACCTTCCCTCGTTTCAACTGCAAAGAGTTCTATCTTCACCCCCCTGTGTCGAGAATGGCTCTGTTTTTGCAAAAAGGTAACACTAACACAGGGGCTCTGATATCAAATTTGTTCCTTATCTCCTCTGCGACTAACTGCCAATCTGTGACCTTCCTCCTAGCTATCAGCACGAGTTTTTTCCCCCAATCCTGCCTATCCACTTCGAACTCCATTTTGCTCGACTTAACGGAGCACGCAACATAATCATCCACTACCTTCTGGGTTTTCTACTCTCCCTTTTCACTCTGTACGTTATCTCCCACCCCATCCACTGTTTTCTCAGTTGATATCCTTTGCTGACTCTTCTCCTTCTCCATCACTACCAGATACTCCTGCAACTTGTCTGCATAACCCTTCCACCCTGTCTTCCTTTTACCTTCCGGAATACACATGTATTTCCTGTTACTTTTCCCAAAGCTCTCTGTAACTACCACAAACCACCCATTTCTATTGTTTCTCAGCTCCGCTGCATAATTCTTCCTTCCCCTATTCAACTGCCCTTTCCATCCGATTTGTTTCATGCTATACGTAACTGCATCAACGAAACCTTTCAGCCAGAACACTGTGTCCCTGCAAAGAAAAATGGTGGTCTTCTTCTCTTCTCTGATCTTCAAGCTCTCTTGTCCCATGTTTCTGCAAGCTCCAAACACATTTCTTAGCTTCGACCTCCAGCCTTCTTCTCCATGTAGTCGCCGCCCTGAACTCCATCCCAAGAAAAAACTTTCCAGTACTTTTCTCGGTTTTGAAGACAAATCAAGTACAAATTATTTAATAAACGTAAGCTATACTAAACACATAGAAGGAACCACATCTCAAAGCTTCAAGTGGAGGGTCAAGAGATTGAAGAGCCATCACAGATAAGAATGAAGATCATTGAGTACTTCAAAGAGCTTTATACTTATAGGTGTTAGCACTCTTCCTTATTAGGTTGGGAAGATCCCTCCCTCTCGGCAAATAAAAGAAATTGGTTGGAAAATTGCTTCTATGAAGAGTTAATCAGGCAAGTTTTCTTTGATTTGGATGAGGACAAGACTCCAGGCCCAGATGTGTTTTCTGTTAGGGAATAAAAGCCTATTCAAGGACCTCACCTAACAGCTTAGGCTCTTAGGTCGAACAATTCCTTGAGATGGTATTAGCATCACTTTGACAAAGTGGTCTAGTGTTCAATCCTCGTTGTCCCATTATAATTAATTAAATTTCAAAACAAAGTATGGGTGGGTCTGTGCTTGACCACATTTCAAGCCCAATGGGCTTTTATGTGAGGGGGCGTTTTAGAGAATAAAACCTATTCAGGGGCCTCACCTAACAGCTTAAGCTTTTAGGTTGAACAGTTCCTTGAGATTTTCTATAGTGTTTTATTAGGAATGTCGGGAAATTATATTAAAGAAGACTTGTGGAGGATTTTGAAGACTTCTATAGTTTTGCTAATATTAACATAAGCAATATTGCGATCTTCATCAAGCTTAACCCAAAAAAATCTGAACCTCTTGGTGTTGAAGATTTCTGCACCATCAGCTTCACTGTAAGTCTTTACAAAATAGTGGCAAAGGTTGAATAATAGGTTGATGAAAGTAATAAATGTGGTTGCTGCTCCCTCCCAGAGTGCTTCCATTGAAAGAAGACAAAAAGTGGATGGTGTGCTGATTGCTAACAAATGTGTTGCAGAGAATAAGTTTTGGGGGTGTAGTTTGTAAGATGGACTTGGAAAAGACCAACGGTAAAGTGGAGAAGTTGCATATGGAAAATCTTTGAGCTGAAAGGTTTTGGCGAGAAATAGATTTGCTGGATGAAGGGTTGTAAACAATCAACTAGATTCTCCATTATTATCAATGGCATGCTGACATCGTATACTATCTTAGCAAGACAAGTTAGAAATATCAAACTATCCTAACATGTTAAGAGATTCGTTAAAGTGAAAAATCAAATCATCCAATGAGTGCATGCCTGAGTTATTTGGTTTCGATGAGTTAACATGGTGATAACAGTTTCTCACAACCCAGCAACAAAAACATGGAAATGCTAACAAGGAAGTGTAAAATAAAATTACCTAGTGAGTGACTATCTTTTCCCCTTCTCCAAACGAAATAAAAACAACCCTCTAACATATGGAAAAATTAAGGTTTCCACCGAGGTCTACTACCCGCCTATAACTATCAAGAACTGCTAAGGTAACCTAATAGGACAGACACAGTACTATAACTATCAAGAACTGCTATGGTAGCCTAATAGGACAGCACTGCCAAGGTACCCAAAAAACCAAGATGAACAGGCCCTACAATCACAGTCATTTACTTAAATGGTCACACAGTTACCACAGTCACCAAAAAAAACTACCACTGCTGTTACAGCCACCACCAGTCATACCTGATCTAAATCCTCCACCCATCTAGGTACAAAAGGATCACACGATCCATATAGGTGTTAAACAACACCAAAACCTTAACAGCATTTAGTCACCACAAACAAACAGCCTTATCTTGGCACACGACCAAGAAATAAAAAGGGGAGGAAAGGAACTACTCCCAGATCAATCTAATGTAATTTCTTCTGAGATCGATCTGGTAATCAGCAAGAGAGGGGGAAAAATAGTTCGATTTGTCTTCAGGCCCACAAAATCTGCTCTGATACCTTGTTTTCTTGATAAAAAATAAAGAAAAACAGGAAGAGTGAGAAAGAAACTGAGATTGGAGAGTCAAATGTCTTGGTTGGCGGCACCAGCTTTCTATTATATACTAAGGCAACACAATAAAACAAAAAAAAAACATGTAAAAAGACCACAGTACCCCTGTAGCCCATATTACACTAAATATTCAGAGTTTTGACAGGTACAATTACTTTATGGCTTCATGGCTCTTACCCGACTCTGCAAATACAAGTGTTTCAGCCTTACCTGTTAAATATGCTCTCTAGTGCAATTCTGAAAGCACCCATGCCAAGACGTTCAGAAGGAAATGCACCCTGCTTTGAGCAGCAAGCAATCAGTACTTCCATAATTTTGGTAATATTTATAAGCCAAAACATGATTCTGGTCTCTAGAGAACCTAGAATCCTATTTATAAGCACTATCATTAAATTCAGTGGAGAAAAGTCCCTGCGGTAAGATAACCTAATACTATACTCCATATTTTTTATGTGTTAGTTACAGTGTAAAATATAAAATAGCCACCAATATGATGCAAATACTAGTCGAATGGAACCCCACTTTCATGGGTCACACAAAGATATTCCACTAGCCAATTTCAACCTGATAAAAATTTAGTTGAAGCATCGAATATAAAATCCATGGCATATACCCATGTGTCTTTAGATCCTACTTGATGATTCAACAGAAATATGACTAAGATCATCTAAGTAGTTTGAGTTTTGGCATAAATAGGACCCATAAAAAGTTAAATCCTGGCTTCTGTCAAGTTCTTATCTATGGTTTTTGTTGAAGATTAATTAGTTTTATGATATTTTTCTGAGTAGATGTTTTATGTTAGTTGTTAGATAGGAGGTTGGGACCACAATAGTTATGTGAGTCCAAATTTTATTATGTTTTTTGAGTGTTATATATACTGTTTTATGTTTTGCCACTCTATAAGGGCATAGTTGTCTTTGTACTGTTCTATTATTTTAGTATAAATAATAAGTGAAGGGGGCGGCCAGATTATTGCTCTCTTTTCTTTTTAACTTTTCTTCTTCTCTTCTTCTCCTTCTCTCCTCCTCTCTTCAAGAAACTACTTTCTTTCATATTTTTTAGTTCAGC